ATGGAAAGGATAGGAGCTCTACAAGGACCAAATATATCCGGGCATAGGGTCTTTTCTGAGACTGACACTCAACCAAGGACCATCTATGGATATAACCTAGAACTTCTGCTTGGATGTGGCCCGTGGTAGCTCAGTAACCAAGTAGTTTTCCAAAGTAAGGGGAACAAGGACTATTTCTAACAGGATCTCAAGGGCAGACTCTTTGACCTCCCTACAACCCCCCCCCCCCAGGGGAGGAGCTGTCCTGTTAGGCCACAGAGTAGGACTTTGCAGTCAGCCCTGAAGATACCTGATAAAACAGGGTCAAATGAAGGGGGAGGAGGTCCTCCCCTATCAGTGGACTTGGAAAGGGGCAGGGAGGAGACCAGGGAGGGAGTGTGGGGTTGGGGAGGGAATGAGGGAGCGGGATACAGCTGGGACACAGAGTTAACAAAATGTAACTGATAAGAAAAATAAAATTTAAAAAAAAATACTGCAACCCTTTAATACAGTTCCTATGTTGTGGCGACCTCTAACCATAAAATCATTTTCATTGCTATTCATAACTGTAATTTTTCTAGTGTTATGAATTGCAATGAAAATCTCTGTGTTTTCTGATAGTGTTAGGTGACCCTTCTGAAAGGGTCTTTTTTTTTTTTTCCACAGCCAAAATATTTATTTATTGTCTTTCTTATTAATTACACTTTATTCACTTTGTATCCCCCATAAGCGCCTCCCTCCTCCCCTCCCGATCCCACCCTCCTTCCCCCTACTAAAAGGGTCTTTTGATCCTAGAGGAGTTTTGATGTGCTGGTTGAGAACCCTTGTTGTGGTGTGCATCAGAATCTCATGTACTTTAAGTTGTTACAATTATTTATTGAGTCTAAATACCTTTAGTTCTTTTTTATTAAATTTTTATTTTTTATATTAATTACAGTTTATTTACTTTGTATCCCAGCTGTACTCTCCTCCCTCATTCCCTCCCAATCCCACCCTCCCTCACTCATCTCCTCCTTGCCCCTTTCAAAGCCCACTGATAGGGGAGGTCCTCCTCCCCTTTCATCTGACCCTAGCTTATCAGGTCTCATCAGAACTGGCTGCATTGTCCTCCTCTGTGTTTCTGGCAAGGCTGCTCCTCCCTCAGGGGGAGGTGATCAAGGAGTCAGCCAATGAGATCATGTCAGAGACAGTCCCTGTGCCTCTTCCTAGGGCATGTACTTACTAGGACACTGAGCTGCCATGGGTTACATCTAAGCAGGGCTTCTAGGTTATATCCATGAATGGTCCTTGGTTGGGGTATCAGTCTCAGAAAATATCCCTATGCCCAGAATTTTTGGCCTCTGAAAATCTCTACCTAGCAGTATATCAAAGTATATGTGCTAAGACTCATAACCAAACTTTGGACAGAGTGCAGGTACTCTTGAAAGAAGGAGGAGATGGTAAAACCTGGAGAGGAGAAGAACTCCACAAGGAGAGCAACAGAACCATTAGTTCTTCTTTAATGAACACTTGGGCTGGTTATTTGGATTATTGTACATATTGCTAGCATGAACAATGCACAGCACAGACATTGGTGAAAATGATGGGTCATATAATACTTCTACTTTTAATTTTAAAGTAATTTTTATGCAGTTCTCTACATTAGTGATAGAATTCATAAATAGCAAAATATAAGAGATACTGCTTCATCATATTCTTGCCCTGTCTTATTATCTGCTCTCATTTCCTTCATTCCTCTCTTCTCTTTCTCCTTACTTCACCCTCTCTATTTTTAAAGCTCTTTTCCTTATTCTTTAGTCTTTCTCTCCTCTGTCCTTTTCTCTTTCTGTCTCTATGTTCATCTCTACTTTATACTTTCCCTCTCTCTTTCTTCTGTTCCCTTCCCCCCTTCTTCATCCTAATGCCTTTGGAGTGTTTTTTTTTTCTTAATGAGTGTTATTGTTGAATATTTCAAGTGATTATTTGATATTTTAAAACTTGTTTGAAGAAATAGCTTTTCAAATTCCTTTTTGAGCATGACTAAATTAATTAATGTATTTTTCCTTGTAACTTTTTATACTTACAATCATTATACATGTTGGAAATTCACCTACTATCATTTTTATTATTATGCAAATATTTTGCACTGTTCCACTGTTATTTTGTATTATCTACTTTGCCTGGATATATATATATATATGCATACATACATTCAATTTTATTCTGATAGGTCCAATTAATTACTTTTTCTTATGTATTTATTTATTTATTTATTTACTTATTTATTTATTTATTACACATTATCCCAGCTGTAGCCCCTTCCCTTGTTTTCTCCTCGTCCTACCCACCCTCCTTCTTCTTCCCCTATGCCCTTTCCCTAGTCCCCTGATAGGGGAGGACCTCCTCCCCTTCTATCTGACCCATCTAAGTTGGTTGCCTCATCTTCTCTGGCCTGACAAGGCTGAACAGTCCAGAAGGAGGTGATCAAAGAGCCTGCCACTAAATTTATCTCAGAGACATCCCCTGCCCCCTTATTAGAGAACCCACTTTGAAAGTGATCAACCTATGGGCTTCCTCTGTTCAGGGTGTCTAGATCCTCTCCATGCATGTTCCTTGGTTGGAGTATATGTTTCTGCAGATCCCTCTCAGCCCAGAATTTTTGTCTCTGTTGGTCTCCTTGTGGAGTTACTGTCCCCTCCAAGTCTTTTTATATCCCTCTTCTTCCATAAGGTTTCCAGCAGTCTGCACAAAGTTGGGCTATGAGTCTCAGTACCTCCTTCAATACCATGGTAGATAGAGTCTTTCAGAGATCCCCTGTGGAAGGCTCCTGTCCTGTTCCTTATCTTCTCCTGCTTCTGATGTTTATCCTGTGTGCCCTTCTGAGTGAGGTTTCAGCCTCCTCTCTAGGGTCCTCCTTGTTTAGCTTCTTTAGGACTATAGATTTTAGAATGTCTATGCTATATTATATCGCTAATATCCACTTATAAGTGAGTATATACCATATGTGTCTTTCTGCTTCTTGGTTACCTCACTTAAGATTGTCTTTTCTTGTTCCCACCATTTGCCTGCAAATTTCATGATTTCCTTGTTTTTAATTGCTAAGCAGTATTTCGCTGTGTAAATGTACCATATTCTCTGTACTCATTCCTCTGTTGAGGTACATCTAGGTTGTTTCCAGATTCAGGCTATTAGAAATAAAGCTGCTATGAGCATCTTTTTCTTACTTTTAGTTTGCGTCGTATGTAAGAAATCATGGGAAATCTCATTATCACACATTTTTTGTTTAGTTGTATTTTTAAATGTGTACTTTAACATTTTATTGGTTCATGCACTGCAATCCCAGTCATCTCCCTCTCAATTTGCAACTGCCCTTTACCCTTGAAACCTCCCCCATAGTAGAAAGAAAAGAAAAAAACTCATTGTGGAAGCTGTAGTGTGTGATAGCGTGTCTTAGAATTTACCCTTTTGTCCACATTTCTTCACTTGCAAATGTCCATTGCAATGACTCATTGGTAGGGTACAAGGCTTCTATCTTCTGCTACTCTTTTAATATTGGCACCTCACCGGGACTCCTCTCAAGCCCCTTCATGCAAGCAGCATTTCATTGATGGGGTAGATTTTGGGATGGGCCAATTCAAAGCCCTGAATCTGGGCCTAAGAGGTATCTGAACTTGTAAGACTGCCAGCTCTGTTGATCTCACACCCTTGCAGCTGGCTCACCAAAAACCACTACAACCAGTGCCAGCTTTACCCTGATGTCTAGGTGAGGTACATGGCTCATTCTCCAGATAGTGAGGAACATGGCCTAGGGGCCAGCTATTATGCCTGTCATAGGTGGCAAAAATTGGGGCCTGGAGCGGAGTGTGGAATGTATCCTCCTTGCACCTCACTGCAGACTAGTGGAATAGCCAATACTCCCTTGCTCACAACCTCTGGGCCAGCATGCTCATGCCCCTGCCACCAAGGTCAACTCTCCTATGCTGCCCAGGAGAGGTGTATGGCCTGCTCTCCTGTGTGCTGCATTGGGTGATGGACAAGACAAGCTCTCCTACTTTTCATGACTCCAGCCATCAAGTCTCCCACCTGCCACAGGCAAGCTGGCTTCAATGAGCTTCAAAAACTGTTAGCTACACAAATCTCTTACAACTAAGGAAGGAGTGTGTCTCAAAATCCAAAAGCTTCTGTTATTAAGACAACTGGATGAGAGGGAGGACGGTATATCTCCAAAATCCATGCCATATCAGACAACATGAGTGGCACTCCCCCAGGCTCATATCCTCAGGGCTGACTTGCCTGAAACTATTACAGTGTATAGGGTCTGCTCTTCTGATTACCGTGGCTAGATAGGGTGTGGTCAGATCTCCTGCTCTCATGACTCCCAGGCCACATCTCTCATGATGCCCAAGTGAGGGATGGGGCCAATTCTTCATATTTCTCAGATATCAACATGTCCCCAGGTGGCATCCAAGACAAGAGATGTCCACCTGGCCTTTGTAAATGCTACAGGGCCATGGACAAAGACATGGCCCTCAGTAGCACCACAGGCCAGGACCACAGCATGATCCCAGGCGGCATGACCAGCTACTCACATCAGGCTTTTCCCTGCTTCATTTGGGTTTCTAGTTCAGCCTCTTTACATTTTGCACACATCCTTCTGTTCTTCTTCTTCTTCTTCTTCTTCTTCTTCTTCTTCTTCTTCTTCTTCTTCTTCTTCTTCTTCTT